AAAAAAAAAAAAAAAAATCATTGTTTTTACTCTGCATCACCTATGTGATGACTACACTCTATTGAAATGAAATATAACAATATTTCTCAATTCAGAAAACTCAACAATACTAATTAGCTTTGGGCTGAGTACAATTTAGGCCTTTAAAACAAGTGAACAAAGTAATTTCCAAAAGAAATAACTTATAAACTCTAAAACTCAGTATCCAAATATCAAAAGGATGATCAAAAAAAGAATCTGAATCATAATTATTATATGTGACTGAGTTATGAAACACTTGAAGTATATAAGACTCAAGTTTTACATCTTAAATCAGCTACAGGTTGAACTCAATTTTTAAACTATTATGAGATACAACTTACAATACATTAATAGTGCAATCAGATTTTTCTATTTTAATAGTTCTGATTCTTTTGGGATGGTTTGACTTCAATACTTACTGAAGTTACTTATTTCAGCCTATTATTTATTTATTTACTTATTTATTTTTGGTTGAGGCAAGGTCTGTGCTATATAGTTCAGGATGGTCTTGAACTCACTATATAGCCCAGGTAGGTCTTGTATTCAGTGATCTGCCTGCCTCCTTAGCCTTCCAAGTACCGGGATTACAGGCATACGCCCTGCCTATCATATAAAGGCCAACAGATATTAAGACTACTTTGCTTGCTTATTAACCTTTGATTATTTTGATTGTAAAAGGGTATTGTGTCAGGAAATTTTTGGTTCTGTTATTTATCATGGTGCTGGGGGCTCAAACCCAGTGCCTCATAAATACTAAGTAAGTTCTCTACTACTTAGCCACATGCTCAGTCCCATATGTATACTTTTATTCAGTCAATTTATTTCTTGGAATAATGCTGCTCTACAATAGCAATATCTAATAATAACATAAGGCCAGTGGTTGAGAATGTAATTCAGTGTGCACATTTAGCATGCTCAAGGCCAAGTTCAATTCACAGCACCAAAAAGTTTACAAAAAGGTAATTAAAAGGGGCCAGGAGATGGCTCAGTAGAATAAGTGCTTGCCTGGCAAATGCAAGGGCCTGAGTTCAATCCCTAGTTCCACCAAAAAAATAAAATTAAAAAAAAGATTAATTTTAGTAATATATTTTATTTACTTCAAAATATCCAAAATCTCAATATATTTCAGTATGAAAACTGAAATATTAGAGAATTTTATGTTAAGTATTTGAAATTTCCTGTGTATTTTATACTTATAAAACAACTGAAGTCACATTACTTCCATCTGAAGTCCTCAACTACCACACATGGCTACTGAGTAGTACTGAACAGTACAACTCCAGATTACTAAAGATTATAAAGTAACACTCAAAACTAACTTTTTATTAAGAATGTTGATGTTGGGCCAGGGAGATGGCTCAATAGAATAAGCGCTTAAGGGACTGAGTTCAATCCCCAGCTCCACAAAAAAAAAAAGAAGAAAAGAATGTTGATGTAAAAGTTACACTTAACTTCCATAAAATGAGAAAACTTGTAACATTCAAGAGCAGGGATGCAAAACATCAATTTGTTTTTAATTTTCAGTACCTTTAGCCCATATGCTTCCTTTTGCCATCACTATGAAACTGAAATTTCAGTCACCAATCCAGCCAAAATGATAAGTACTTATTATAACCTTGTTAAAAGTTTATTTAGCATTCTTAGCTATCATATACAATTCACAAGAAGTCTAAGTCTATTTTTTAATATAAAATCCTGAGTATAAGCAAATTTAAAAAGTAGAAAATGAATTAATAAAAATAAATGAACAGGGGCTGGGGATATAGCTCAGTGACTTAGGTGCATGCCTGGCAAGCACAAGGTCCCGAGTTCAATCCCTGACACCACAAAAAATAAAAAAATTAAAAAAAATAAATGAACAAAGGACAAGTCTTCTTACATGTCAGGTTAACACAGCCATAATGACAGATCAGGAGTAACTTAAAAGATTCAGTAATGAAAAAAAAAAAAAAAAAAGATTCAGTAATGAGCACATGCACTGAGCTCCTCACAGAATAAAAGCTTGTTTCAATCACTCCATCTCCTTTTTCTAAACATGACTGGACATTTTGTCCTAGCAACTTTCCAAACTCTACAGTGAGAAAAGATGAATATCCAAATCAACAGAAACGGCAATATTGAAAAAAAACTTTAACAGGATGTGTTGGCCTCTACTTCTTAAAAAATTGGAAGGTGGTAATGCCAGCACTGGGGAGCTGAGCCAGAATGATCGTTACAAGTTCAAGACCAGCCTTGGTTACAAAGTGAGCTCAAGGCCACGCTGAACTGCACAGCAAGACCCTGTCTTAAAATGACAAAAAATAGAAAAAGGAATTGGAATGTGGAAGTAAACAACTTGAGTTAGGGATATGAGGTTAGAATAGGATATGAGGTTAGAATAAGTACCATAAGTACTTATGAACTATTCTTAATGACTTAAAAAGCCTTTACTAAGTCTGCATATATTTAACCACAAAATGGTTGCACTGACTAAAATATTTCTTTGCTTTTGGTGAAATTATGTCGCTGTAGTGTAGCAACATTAGCTTTCTCAAGTTAATCACAAGTTCCTATTGCAACTTGATAGTGTGACTAACACAAAAATGGGAATAAGATTCCTTTATCTCAGGATACAGTCATTCTAATCATAGTGGATGGATAGGTGAATAAAAATTGCAAATAAGTGACTTAGGTAAGCGGACAGTAGGAATTAAAATGAGAAACCAGGTGGACTTTATGAAAACAAAACAGGTTGAGAATCACTACATTAGATCTTTATAACAATGATTACTTGAGACTATTTTGGTGTGAAGGTTGTATCTGCCGGTATTTTAAAACTCTGCTGATTTGATGGATGGAAATGACAGCTACTCTCATCTCCCTTCCAGAAACCTAGAACAGAAAAAAGTACAGCTGCTTTTCTGAGAAACAAAGATGCTTTCTACCATTCTTCTAAGATGGTGGAAGAGTCTCCTCAAGAGGCTTCCCCAAGGGGGGTAAAAACAAAAAGAAAGAATGGAAGAAGAAAGGCACAGCAGAATTCCCTGGCTGTGTTTCATGCCATTCCTTCTAGTCACATACCCAGTGTAACCATTCCGGTCCGGCCAATCTCCCTCCTGCGAGGTTAAGCCCTCCCAGGGCATTGTTTGGCCAGGGTCCCTATTTACACCACTCAGATCGCCTCCACCGTCCCGGAGTTAGGAGTCTCGGGAAGCCCAGGCAGAAAGAGAAAAGGCTGGGAGAGGACCTGATTTCCACAACGTCTTCCAAAGCCTCTTAGTAACTAGGAGGAGAGGGAGAAGGAAGCCTGGCCTTTCCTTGGGTGGGTTCCTCATGGCCAGAGGCGTCCCCTGGGCCAGGGCCGAAAGGTGGCCATTTGAGCTGGTCGCTCCGCATCGAAAAGCCCTACCCGTGAGGGGCCTTCTTCAGGCCCCGGTTCGGTCCGAATGTCAGGTGCGGCCCTCCGTCCCCAACCCGCAGGACCCCGGCGGCGACAGTGTACAGGCCCCCGGGCTGCGACAGGCCCCCTCCCGTCCGCTGGGGACCCGGCACCGGGGTTGGGGCCCGAGCCGCATCGTGCCCGCCCCCGCCCTACCTGAGGGGGCCCGGGCGGGGTCGCTAAGGGCCGCTCCCGGGAGCCCCGCGACGGCGCGGCTCGGCGATGGAGGCGCCTCGTCTCGCCGCGGCAGAGCTCGGCGGCGGTTTCACGGCCTCAAACTCCATCGGGAGCTACAGGGACAGCCCCGTTGGCGGCGGCAAAGGCCGCGACGGGGCCTCCTCCTCCTCCCTCCCCCTTCTTCTCCTCCTCCTCTTCACCACGGAGGCGGACCTGAAGGATCCCGATTTGGTTCTCGCGAGAAGATACTGCCCACTTCACGCGAGATTACGTGTGCCCGGGAGTTGGGGAGTGGAAAAGAAGCGTAGTTACCTTCACCACCTAAAATGCTCGCACGAATCCCTCCCCTGTCATGTGACAAGGGAGTCCCAGAGTACTGTGGGAGATGTTGTGAGGCGAGCAAGACATGTCGAAGGGACTGATGGGAAACTCCCCGCACTTAGATTTGCGTCTTGAACCTTCTTGCTAGACGCGGATTTAAGCCAGTGTCAGAATACCACCAGGAAGAGCGTGTTATCTGTTGCGCAGAATCTAATGGGTCTATGTTAATCTTACTTCACTGTCTTCTAAACGAATTAACATAGATACCGAGTAATCTCCCGATTACAAATCACGAAAAACATTAAAATGAAGAAGTGTATTTGGCAGACACTTCCCACCTATCTAATCTCTTTATTGAAAACTTGTTAGCCTCAAGCTAAGAATCAAAATTTAATCGCAAAAATTTGGCATTATGTAGCAAACATTTCTTGAAGGCTTTCTCAAAGCCAAGTTTAACATAGAAATTAGTTTTTACAAATGAAAAAGACTTACCATCTACATTTACCATCTACCATATATAAGGCCCTATTTAGGTGTTTTAAAAGTATTTGTTTTACTTACATTTCATTTACTTAATGAAATAATTATATAAGGCAGATAATATATACGCTGCTACTGATAAGAAACTTAAGAGAATGAGCCATGACATAAATTCAAAACACTTTTCAAGGTGAAACCATATGCATAACAGATCTACAGAAGTCGAATATAAATTAAATATGGAAAAGTAACATAATAACATACGGCTATTAGTACTTGTGTAAGGAAAAGTCACCGGTTTTGGAAAAGAATTTTTTTTTAATGTATTTGGTACAGGTTCTCACTACATAGCTTGGCCTCTAGTGATTCTGTTTTCAGCCTCCCCAACGCTGAGATTACAGGCATGTGCCTCCACACCTGGTGCAGGTGGCCCAACCAGCGGGCCCCAGGGGTGGGGCCTACGTGGCCTGTGGTGCTGGGGATTGAACCCTGGTTCCTGCACTTGCCTAAGCAAGCACTTAATCCATTGAGCTATCTTACCTGCCCTGGAAAAGTTTATTTGCCCCATTAGATATTTTCCCCATGCAATAGCCATATTCCAATAATTAGTGATTCATTTTTGTACTTTCAGGTGGAAAATGGTGAGTGGTTTTATATACATGTTTTCCAACTAATTGTATTTGTGTAATTTTATATTCCATTAGGTATACGATATATTTACATCCAAAAGACAATAATGTATTTTTCAAAAGTGGATTGATCACATTTAAAGTTATAATCCCACCCTTCTGCAGCACTATACCCACATTGTCTCTTTCAAAATCTGACATACATTAATTTTACTTATCTGTGTACTGTCTCCCTCTACTAGAATGTAAATTTCATGAAGACAGGGATTTTTGTCTACCTAATTTCTAGTAGGGTCTCAGTAGGTATTCCTGAAATTAATAACCAGGGAAAATGGTGTCCTTTAAAATTCATAAATGTAGGGATTGGTGATGTGGATCAGTGCTAGGGTTTTTATTTGCATGCATAAGGCCCTGGGTTGGATTCCCCAGCACTGTACACACACAAAATTCACATATACAGCCAGTAGGGGTGGTGCTCCACTGTGATCACAGCAATCAGGCTGAGGCAACAGCTTGGCTGCAAGTTAGAGGCCAGCCTGGGCTACATAGTGAGTTCAAGTCCACCCTGTACTACATAGCAAGACTTTGTCTCCAAAAAGAAAGAAACAGAGAAAGAAAGAAGAAAACAATTTCACAAACACAGGGAAAAGATTAATATTTTCTGTTCTTACCTCTGGTTTATTATTTCTTATGTAAACATGTAAAACAGTTACATCCAAGGAAAAAGGACAAGGATTTTCGCTTTAACAACTACCTTTCCAAAATCTTTTATATATGTAAATGCAAGAAGGGGCTGAACTCAAAAGACATTACATTTTTCTGTCATATCTGAAACAAAAGCAAAGTATTTTCATGAATAAATTTTGCATTTTACTTTGCCATACCTGCACGTTAAGATTTCATGTTTCTGAAATATTTTAGACACATCATGCAAACAGATAGTCTCCTAGGAATGTCTTGTGATTACTGTGTGCTACTTACTTACCAGGAATAAATAATATAAATAACAACTATCACTTACAAAATGCCTTCTCTGCACACAAAAATCTCAAAAGTGCTCAAAAAAATCATACAACAATCGGACAAGGCACACATAAACATTGCTCCAACTAAAATTCTTATCAAGCACTCAAGATATATACCAGTTCCTAGAAAGTCAAGAGTTATTTTTGTTTGGTTTTCTTTTTCTTTTTTCTCTTTTTTTTTTTTTTACCATTTTCTCCCATCCTTAGCCCTCCCCTCCACTATTTTTTCATCCTAGGAAGCAAAAATAAGAAAAATACCTTAATCACAAACTATCTCTGCAAGGGAAATATTTTCACAACTATCAATGGCCACTGCTATGAAGGGGAAAGGAAATGAAACTCTAAACTGTTATCAAGTTAAAAAAAAAAACAAGTTAAAGAAAAATTTTTCTCTTCATGAGTGCGTGAATAGTAACATCCACAAGCACACAGCTCTCCTCTTTTCCTTCCCCCCTTTTTCCTCAGGAAAAAATTAAATATAAAATAGTTTTACTCCTGGAAAGGAGCTTAAAAATGATTGAGATTAAAGTTATTATACATATAAAATAATGTTCAAGGACCTGCCCAATACCAGTAATTACTGACCTAGATTTATGAAGTCAGTTCTCTCATCAAATATGAGAGCTGCAATTTTTAAAAAAATCTCTCCCAGATTTAAAATTCAATAGAGAATATCTTTTCCACAAAAGTATCACAAAAAACTGTATTTAACGTTTATAACAATGAGGGATTCTTCACAAAATTCTTATAAATGATACAAAGTATATTACATTTTAAAACATACAGAAGGGCACCAGAAGTTAAATACAGTAGAATTTCTACATAAAAGTGAGGTAAGTAGAGAAGGAATAAAGTTTTAGCTTGGAAGCATCCAGTCAGACTTATTTATTCAAATTAGTTTCTGTGTTTCAGAGGTGACTTGCCCTGGAATATATTTTGATCTTTGTTATAACAACAACAAAAAAATCTATATTATATGTAGGAAGGATATCAAGAAGGTAGGCCTCAGAACACAATTTGAAATATTATTTATTAAAATAATCAGAATTGGGGCTGGGGAGATAGCTCAGTAGAATAAGTGCTTGCCTGGCAAGCGCAAGGGCCTGAGTTCAATCCCCAGTTCTGCCAAAAAAAATAATAATAATAATAATAATAATCAGAATTATGGCTTTCCTTTTGGCACTTTACAGAAATATCAAATAACATTCTAAGAATGGTTAAGATCTTTTAACTGAATGCAAATTGAAATTAAGAATTATAACTATTAGCTAATACTAGTAGCTAACCACATTTAAAATGGTCATCAGAAACAATATATATTGGCAAGTGAAAATAAAAAAAAAAGCTATTGATACACACATAAATGATTCTAAAGGTGTTATGTTGGATGAAAATACCATTTATTTATACAACATTCCAGAAAAGACAAAATTATAGTAATGAAGAAGTATTTGTAGCTAGAAGTAACAAGGAACAGAATGAGGGGGCTTTGGGGGGCAGTCTGCATTCCAGATGCAGTGTTCATAACAAATATGTACACATATTAAAATTCATGGAAGTATATAGCAAAAAAGGTCAACTTCAATATATTAATGGAAAACTAAAGGGGAACTTTAGGAAAGACAGTAAAGTATCGATAAAGTTGGAATTTCTAGAAAAGTAATTTTTCATAGCTTCATGCCATGGTATTACTTTGCTAACCACAAAATCATTAATCCAACATGATGAAGAAAGGTAGGGGCCAGGGAGATAGCTCAATAGAATAAACACTTGCCTGGCAAGCGCAAGGGCCTGAGTTCAATCCCTGGTTCAGAAAAAAAAAAAGAAAGAAAGAAAGAAAGAAAGAAAGAAAGAAAGAAAGAAAAGAAATATGGATCTACGGGTCCTGCGGTGCTAGCTCCTCCCCCAGGGCTCGCAGAGCAAGCGATTGAGACTGGACATGGTGGTGTGCACCTGTAATCCCAGCACTTGGGAGGCTGTAAACAGGAGGATCACTACGAGTCCGATCTACACAGTGAGACCCTATAGACCCTGTCCTAAATACAAAAAAAAAAAAAAAAAGAAAGAAATGTGGATCTAATTATTCTAAAATATATGATAACAAATAGCAATAAAAGTATTGGAAGAAATATTAACACATAAGGAAATTCTGCTATCAAAAAGTAAATCTGAATTACTTCTTTACAAAGTTATGAAACAAAAATAGTTATGAGTACTTTAGCTCATAATTGTACGCACCTTAGTTTAGAACCTAAGAACACTGGCTACATATTAAAAGAAAAAAAATTGCTAATCCTATTTGTTCTTAAAGTGACCAATAATAGACAACATCATTTTAAAATTTATTTTTTGTCAACCTAACTCATTAAAGTTATCATATGGTTAGATTTAACATTTAAATCAATTACCTAGAGAATATACATCAGAATCTTGCAAATACTGTTCTCAGTCAATTAGAATTGAGAATATTTAAAAAGAACACTAATTTCTCCAGGGATATATTTCTTTAGGATTTGTACAGTATATAATTCATCCCATCAGCTTTATCACGCCTCCCTCAACTTTAGTTCACAAAAAAGGTAGTATGCTCCGGCAGATCAAAAATAAAACCTAAAAATTTTGGGCTGGGGAGACAAGTTCAGAGGCATAAGCTCCTGCCTGGCAAAGGCAAGGTCCTGAGTTCGATCCCCGGTACCGCAAAAAAATAAAATAAAACCTAAAGATGAAGGGAGGGCATATAGTATTACAAATGCTGTATTTCTACACAAAGACTTGCCTAACAGAATTATATAAAGTTTACACAGCAAGTCCACAATTCTGATTATAATAGATTTTGCCTTTTCAGATCAGGCCTAGATAGTTTTTCACCACTACTTCTGCCATGAACAGAAGTTAAATGTTTTTTAAGGGCAGATTTGTGCTTGAAATCCATATCACAACAGTGACATTTGTATGGCCGATCCCCACTATGTATGTTCAAGTGGTCCTGAAGTGTGCTTTTGGCAGTGAAGGTCTTTAAGCACACAGTACATTGAAAAGGCCGTATGCCCATGTGCCCTCGAATATGCCGGTTAAGATTTTTCTTCTGTGTGAACGTTTTCCCGCACTGTAAGCACAAGAACAGTTTATGCATCTTAAGGTGGCGCAGATAGTTTTCAACATGAAGAAACCCTCGAGGACACCTGGGGCACTGGTGCCTCAGTGAATGATTCTCTTCCACATTCTGAATCTCGTTCACCGTGCCGTGACTGCCATCAGCATTCTCACAAAATAAGCCCTGGCCTTGATGTCCAGGAACTTCTGCCACTCTGCTTTCCACTGTAGAATTGATCAGCGAATGCTGTGTTTCAGAGAGATACATGCTTGCTTTTGATGATGTACAAGGCTGTGAAAACTGCCCATTTTCCACACCAGCTGTACTGATGGACTCTACATGGAGGATGCAAATTTCATTGTCTTTAAAACCGATATCTACTGTAGACAGCTCTGGTGACTTCATTTCCTTTCTTTCTGATGGCATGCTCTCCACTGTAGACTGCAACACATTTTCTTCTTCTTTCACATGGAAATCTATGTTTCCTGGACTATCTTCTGAGATTTCAATTATCTCACAGTCTTTCTCAGAATTTTCTTCTTCACTTTTATGATATGGATCAGAAGACTGGCACAGGTCAGTGTGTTGGTTGTTATTTTTCATGGCAAGATCAATTTCCAGATACTTTGACAAGGCCTCTGTGCACTTTTCCACAATGTGAACCATCTGAAGGTAACTGGCAGCAGTCAAATATTTCAAAAGCTCTTTCCTTTTCACTTCTAGTGCTCCGGTATAGCAAGAGAGTAATAATTTTCTTCCAACTTCTGCACTCTGAAGGATGGTGATTCTGACATGTTTTGACTGTGTTAGTAAAAACTGATCTCTCATAAAAGTAGAGCAAGCAGCCAAAATCACCTTGTGCCCCTGGAACTCCGTGTCATTAATATAAATTGATACATCACAAAATAAATTTTGCTGTCTCAAGAGATTCATTTTCTGCAAGACTGCATCTCCTTGCTGTTCAAACTGGAAGTGCAGAACTTCAGACTCAGCAGCCATTGTCACAATCTAGTGAAAGAAAACACAAAAATTGCTCTGTGGATAGAGAATGTTTTCCCATGTTGTGACAATAAAAACAAACCTCCCATACTAACCTGAACTGGGAAAAAGCAGACCTAAATGATACGCTGGGTAATAAGAGTAAAGCCCTAAACCACCACATCAAAACCCAGAAAACTATGATGCATTTCTAAAGAAGCTCATATACATTTTTCCTATTTGTATTACAGTATTTACATTTAATTGTGGGCCGGGGAGATGGCTCAGTGGAGTAAGCACTTGCCTGGCAAGCGCAAGGGCCTGAGTTCAATCCCCGGAGAGTGAATCTGATACATTTAATTGTTGATAATAGTTTCTATGCTTGCCTCCTTGGCTAAATTTTATGTGCCTTCTACTCAAGAACACATGAACTTGAATATTCAACAATAAGCAGAATAATCACCAAATTAACACAGTATCCCAAATTAAGTCCTAACATCTTATCCCCCTACCACTATTATAGTAGGTCCTCAGTCCTCTTCAAATGGACCGTTGCAATGTCAACAGGTCTCCTTTACCTATCACTCACAACTACTTTTCTGAATTTCAACAAAACTGTTTTAGGGTTTTTCTCCCCCTCTCTCTTCTGCTTTATGTCCTCAGTGGCTTGCCTCTATCTCCCAGACAACCTTTTTATTCTTAAAATTAATGTAACTTCTTTCATAGTTTGGCCTGAACCCATCTTTATAGCTTGATCTCCCTCCATTCTTTTTTTCTCCATTCTTTTTTTTTTTTTCTTTTTTGGTACAGGGAATTAAACTCAAGACCTTGAGCTTACCAGGCAGGCACTTGTGCCACTGAGCTATATCCCTTGTCCTATTTTTCATACTCCAACCTTAGACATTAAGATTTTCATCCTTATCCTAAAAAAACACCCGCACAATACCCTTGCACCGCTATTACTTTTGGTCTCCACCTTTTTCCCAGGGACTGATTTGGCGCCTTTAAGCCCAAAGCAAGTAAGACTAATACGACTCCTCCCCGCACAGTCGCTCCCAGGGCGCGGGAGAGGGTGGCTGATTCATCTGTTTCTCGACTTAGCACACGGGCCCACGCATTAGCAAGAGGAGCGCGGGGAACATCTGTTGAACTAAAACCGGCTCCCAGGTGGCCTGGAAAGATCTCTCCAGCTCGACACACGGTTCTTCCCGACCCCGAGCAGCGCGAGCCGAGGCACTGCAGCATCAGATCAGCCACTCAGAGGCCGCGCCCGGCTGACTGCCGCCGCCTCCTCTTCTTCACCAGGCTCTGCTACCTGACGACTGTCCTTCGGGTTCACTTACCAACTCTCAAAATTAACGTTGAGGCTTCCGCAGCAGCAGGGCCCAGGCCGGAAGATGGACTTAGCCTGGAGGAAACACATCCGGTATCAACCAGTTTTATTTTGTACTGAGGCCACCGGAGCGCCCCGGAAGGACATCCTGGGACGCTCTTTCTTTCTCATTTCCTGCGTTCCTGAAATAACAGAAAGGCGTCCGAATATGGCAAGTCCTGGCTATTCGGTCCTAGTTGTGGCAGGCAAGCCATTCCCCTTCCCAACATCCAAATTGAAAATGGATTGTGAAGTTGATTATGGAGCGTATGTCGGGTTTCAAAGCCCGAACCCCTGGAGGCTTGTCACAAGTGATTTGGGGCAGGATTTTATTGGGACCAGCTACGACCTGAAAAATGGCAAGAGAAACTACAGTAGGGCTCTATCTAGACTTGATTACCAATCTAGTGGCCTGTGGGTCCAGGGTCAAATCCAGAGCGTGCTGCACAGACCTACCACTGAGAACCCCTTCACCCCAAAAGATTTGCCCCCTTCCCCACCCCTTTGGTGCCAGGACTGGATTCAAGGCCTTGCAAGTGTATGCACTCACTTATTCGAACATGTTCATAAATAATATTATCCCACAAGCCATCTTGATATACCCTTAAATTAACTGATTTTAATACCTTTGCTTGGTTTCAACATTTTACTCAACCTACGTTGAAATTATGTCCCACTGAGGCCAAGGCATTCAGGGACCATTGCTTTCTGGTCTGCTATTGTGGAAGTCTAGTGCTTAGTAGACAAGAAGTATTTGTGTAATGAAGTTCTTACAAGCTGTTGCTTTTGTCTTCTCAATCAACAGATTCTCATGGAAATAACTGACTTTAGTAATAACTAATTCTGGGGCTGGGGAGGTGCTAGGCCCTGAGTTCAATCCTCGGTTCCTCCAAAAAAAAAAAAAAAAAAAAGTAATAACTAATTCCTTGTTAGTTCATGCTTTCTTCTGAAGGCAAAGTCAGCAGGCTTAATTAAAATGTACTTTAAAAAATAGAAATAACTCCTGAATTCAAATCCAAACAACTGAAAAAGAAGCAGGGAGGGTAACAAAGTAAACTGACACCAGAGTTTTAATTGTCACACTTTTATTAAGGAAACGTCCCCATAATAAGTGAAGAGGTAGTTCACAGTATGTCTAACATACAACAGATTTAGAACAGCTATTCATGAGCTGAAATAAAATGTTTTGAGTTGTTCAATATTTTAGTAGCAGTGACCAGTGTCCATTTATAGATCTTCCAGTAAAGAAATTAAAACATACTAAAACCACATCTGATTTACCTCAGAGCCATTTTAGGTTGGAGTTCGTCTGTAAAGTTAAATAATAAATAACTGTGACAAAGTTTTAAAAAATCAAACTATGCTTTTAAAAAGTCCTCTTTTCAATTGTCTGGGATCCATAAAACACAAATGAAAAATGACTAAAGTTTTAAAACTCTTCCTTCTAGGTTTGAAAATCATATTCTCCTATAAAATGTACTTGATACCAGTATCTTGACCTCTTTGCAATACAACCTAAAAAAAGCATGTTTAAGTGAAAGAGAAAAGGCAAGTCCCACTGCAATTCGAAAATACTTCACAGAAACTGAACACTTCTCCAAAAACAATAAAGGTGCCTGCAATTACTTTAGTGATTTTTTTTTTTTTTTTTTTTAGGGTAGGATCTGCATGGTATTCAGGGTCTCACTATTACATCGGACTCATAGTGATCCGCCTGTTTACAGCCTTGCAAGAGCTGGGATTACAGGCACACGCTACCGCGTCGTCTCAGAGAGACCCAGAGGCAGGGCCAGCACTGCAGTTCCTGGGATAGAACCTCCAGCCCCTGCACCTGCTTGCAGGTGCTTTAATCCACTGAGCTATTTGGCTGGCCCATGATTTTTAATTACAAAAAAATAAGAACTATATATTTTAGCAATAGAGAATCAAAAAATGCTGAGTTCAACTTAGCATTTTTCCTCTTCCTTAGAAAAGTTTTATTACACCTACTATAAAATCTGATTGAGACCTTAACTCTGTTAAAGATTATATGACCATAGTTCCATAAGGACAGGGACCTTATCAATCTTACCTTCAAATCTTCAGTATTTAGCATAGTTCCTAGCAACAGAAGTGCTTATTAAATGTTTCTTAAGTTCAGTGGTAGGGTACATGTTTAGCATGCACAGACCCTACGCTCAATTTATAGTATTAAAAAAAAAATTTTCAGCCAGGTGTGGTGGGGCACATCTGTAATTGCAGTTCTTGGGAGGCTGTGGCAGAAGGATTGCCATGAGTTTGAGCCCAGCCCAGGCTACAAGGTGAGTTAAAGGCCAGCCTGAACTACACAGAGAGACCCTGCCTCAAAAACAAAAACAAAACAATTCTTGAATGATCAAAATGAATCTAGAAATAGTTTCCAACTAAAGAGATTAATTTTATTTGAACCCATGTGCTTCAGTCTTAAAATGAGTAACAAAAACAGAACATGAATATGAGCAAAGAAAGTACTGAAATGTTTCTGCAAAGACATGATGTTCAGAGAAAATACAAAAAATAACGGTTGGCTTAGTAGGCTCACTGTTGCATAGAATCAGTATTCTTTGGCTGGATCATATAAAAATCATGATGCTAAGAAGCATTATTTGACAATATAATAATTGATGTTAGCATAAGGTCATAGGTCTTATCACTAAACTCTATCCTCTTATTAAACATTTGAATGGAAGAGAAACTATACTTCAAATCACACTCACTTGGAAATACATCAAATTACAATCTCATTGGACTACATAAGTAAAGCCTAACTTCTGGACTCTTGGTGCATGTGCTCTCCTAGCTGAAAAAAGAGAGGCAAAAACCTTGATAGAAATGAAACAGGGCCGGGGAGATGGCTCAGTGGAATAAGCGCTTCCCTGGCAAGCGCACAGGCCTGAGTTCAATCCCAGGTTCCACCAAAAAAAAAAAAAAAAAAAAAGAGGCAGATA